ACATTTTCTGTATGGAGCGTTACTGGTTTGCATTGCGTTGTCGCGTCTTGTCTCGTCTCATGTCTCCACTTCTATAGCCTTTTTCAGTGTCTCTGCTGTCATTTAACACCCATAGCCCACAAAGCAAGTGACTTGCAGCAAGGAAGACCTCAACTCTTGATTTTGGTGCATGAGCCCTGTTGGAATCCTGGCGTCAAGATGGCGAGCTCGCGGAACGAGCGCCACAGGTCCCGCCCCCCGACGGATACCCGCGCCCTTATCTACCCCTATTTAGCTACGTATATAAGCCTTATTGTATCTACTGTGTACGGCACGCGTTTGCACCGGCCAAACGCGAATCCCATTTGTGCCCGCTTGCCCTCGAACTTCTTCAAGCCCGAGGTCGGAGAGGCGATAGCGGAGGTGAGTGCCGCTGTTCTGTACATCATGACCTCCGGCGCACTTCTGGACCCTCACTACAGACAAAACGTTCCTGGCACACGCCTTAGAAGAGCACCATCGTCATTCGCTACAACCCTTCACTCTTCTGCGTCGCACGGCAGATTGAAAGGGCCGGCGTCGGGAGCGGCGCTTCCGCATCCCGATTGCCTGCATCGTCCCCAGCATGCCGATCGATGTGGGCAGACCGATGCAGCGCGGAACTCTAAGCCAGCTACTAATGACAGAACATGTGCAACTGAATGAGTCTGCGGACTCCTGGGGGCCTCGGTCATCCTTGAGAGTCGCGCAACGGGAGGCTGTCGACGAGGCCTACGCCGATGATGGCGCCTCTCTTCCAAGTTCTCTATCTATACTGAGCTTATGAGTCACGCGTCGACGCGGCTTCGTGCGGCCTACATCCGGTCCTGGTCTCCCGCCTTCGCAGGTGTAGCGTAACGGTCAGCTTTCGGACGACATTTCTGAGCAGGACCCTTTGTTGGGTTGAGGGGCCACGCTGCCGAACAAGGCCGTTGTGGTACGTCACCATCAGAGTCCTTTCGCAGGCGATTTGAAACCGGTGGGGTAGTTTAATTTGTCAGCACTCCCAGTTCAAAATCAGCTGAGGTGTGTCCCTCGCACATCTCTTCGACCGCCAATAATCGTTGTGCAATAGCGCGCTTGACAAGGTATTCACTGCACCACCAGTTCAGAGATTGGGCGGATCCAATCCGGTTTTGAATCGGTTGCGACAGGACTCTATTCGATAAAGCTTGAACTTACGGTGACATCGCCAGGATTGACGCTGATATTAGGTTGTATGAAGTGCGGCTAGGATCGATGCTCCATTTTGTTCAGAGGCACTTCACTTCACTCAGGTCAGTGCGGGATGTCTCTGCTTCTACACACTGGACCGCCCTCGTAACGCGTGCTCGTGGTTGGGGCGTTGTCACTCAATCACCGGTTTCTGCTGATTTTGAGACGTCTCCGCGTATACCTATGCTTTTTGCATTCGACACAGTAGCATAGCAAATAACGTCTAGGTGGAGATTGTACTATGTATGGGATTGTGCCCTGCGGTGGTCGGCAGTACACTATGCATCGGGCTACAAAGGTGATCCATACAGCTGCTCGTTCTCGTACAAAATTCTCAATAGCTTGCCCAGCGCCGCCTTAGGCCTGTCCACATCCACCGCCCACGGTTGCACCTGTATGTTGTTATGACGCTTGAAAGTCATCAACAACTCACCCTCTCGGGGTCTTATGTGCGCCATCGGATATGTAAGGCGATCAGGGGGAGGTACCTCCCGTATGGGATCCTGATCCAGGAAGCCCTTTATGCGGAGGACGACCACACGCTTTCCCGTGTGCTCAGGAAGCGTTGATCGCTCAAAGCAGCACCTGATTGAACCTGTCGCCATGGGGCAGGCAAAGTTTTAGCATCGATGAGACAAGCGGTTTATACACGTTACCTTCGTAAGGGCTGTGAGATCGGACTTTCTGTCCCTCTACAAGGGGTTGGTTCGCCGCCAATCTGATCGCTGGGCGCAGTGCCTTGAGTTCGATTGATGCCGTGCCTATAGCCACTAGAACTCCGTTATGTACCCCAGAGAGACGCAAGACGATCTCCTGCCCAAAATGGCTGACGATTTTGACTACAGAGTCAAGGTGTTTGCGATACGCTTTGGCCGGTTGCTTTGTTTCGCCCTCCTGGGATGTTGCCATGGGAGAACACCGTGCAGCGATCTCGAGTGTCTTCTGCGACACCAAGCCATCTTGGCGGAGAAGAGGGAGCAGCGGATGTAAGAGCTTATAGACCGCGATTTTGAACAATGGGAGCCTCCACACGCTTCCATCGCTGACGAGCAAGTCGGAACCCGCGGCGAAGCCAGCCGGATCGGAGGAGGGTGTGCGGCGGAAGCGGATCTCGCCCGCAAGGGGAGGGCTATGCGGAGGGAGGAAATAGTACAAGAATCCGCGAGTATCGGGAGGATAACGACCGTTGTGACCCCATCCAATTGCCTTCAACTTGACCGCAGTAGTAACGGAATGCTCGGACATGCCAATCACTGACACGTCCCGTAGTGCAGGATTGACGACGCATGCAAGTTGGAAGCTGAAGTCGATGTAGTCTCCCGCAGTCAGCTTGGCAGGATCGAGCGTCCGAATAATGCGAGTCCTAAGCCCTCTAATCACCTTCGCCTGTTTCTCCGAAGCGATGGTGCTGTCCGTATTGGTTGCCGTCCTGTCGGATTCGGCAGTGAAGTGTCTTCTCAGAACAGAGTTGACGAGCTTCGGGCACCGGCGGGATTGGAGCGTTGGTAGGACGCAGCCATAACCTCGGAGCGTCCTGGCTAACTCGTCCTGAGGTCTTTGGCTAAACGACGTCCACACCAACGACGTCCGCAGCATCTAGATCGCTGGCGTCAGCCTTCAGAAGACTATCATACCATAGCATGGTTGTGCCTCCTCAGATACACTTACCTGTCTCTCGAGTGTTCAACGGCTGTGACGAATTTGCGTGTTCGAACTTGAAAGCTTGAACGGTGCCCAACTTCAGCTACAGCAACAGGTCCGTGTGACTCCGGTTGTGGCCGATGACGGGCCCCCGGCCCGACTGACCGCTTGCAGTCGAGTTTGACATCGAGCAGATGTACAGAGAGTACCCGTTGAACGTTGCCAGTGCGAAGTGAACCATCGCTGGTCAAATTGAACAAGTGTCTACTTCGAGTTCAGATACAAACGTCCTTCCAGCTACTGTAGCAAGCATCCAACGCCCCGCAAGTCCTTCACCCACATACCTCCCACCGTCCCTTCCCAACACACCACAACCTCCCCTCCCTCCGCCCCCACTCCAACGCCTCTTGCACGGTCCACTCCCCTACGCGCGCCCACCGTTCGTCCGTGTTTCGCAACCATGCCAGCAACTCCTCCTTCGTCGGTCCAGGCGGCGCCTCCAACTCCTTCTCTCGTTCCTGCGCCCTCAGCCGCTCGATGATCGACTGCGACCTGCTCGCCGACGGCTTGGGCTTGGGGGTGGCCTCGCTCACTCCCGCACGAGCAATCTTCTCCTGCGCCATGCGCCGGATCGCGTCCTCGAGCACGCGCGAGAAGTACGCGGGGGTGAGCGGGACGTACGCCTCCTCCCCGGGCTGGGGGTCGCTCAGCTCTGCGGCATCGTCGTCCCACTCCTCGTACGACGGGCGCGAGTGGGCGGAGATCGCCGAGCTCGTGCTCGTGCTCGCTCGCCAGAGCCCGGCGGCAGAAGACGAGGAGGATGAGTACGAGGAGAGGAACGGGTCGAGCGTAGGGGCGGGGGCGGGCGGCGGGCACACGGGTCCGCTCCAGAGGACGATGTCGCCCTCTGTGAAGAGCGTCCGGATGGCCTGCTTGAAGAGCTTCTTGACCGCAGCCGCGGTGGGGCCTTTGCTTGCGCCCGAGGCTGATGAAGAGCTGGGGGGTGCTGCGACCTTGGCTTTCCCCTTGTCTGAGGGAATGGATGGCGGCGCTGCCTTGGCGTTCTTCCGCTCTTCCTTCGCGCGTCTGTGGGCGTCTGCTGCGATGACGCGGCGGGCCAGAAGTGAGAGCTCGGGGACGCGGCGGAGGTGCGAGAGGGTGTAGCCATACATCTGGTCGTCTTCGTCGTCGCACTCCGCGTCCGTATCATTCTCAACATGTGAGCGCCGAGACGCGCGAGGTGTGCGATCCTCGCCACGTCCCCGAGGGCGAGGAGTCTTATCTGTGCTGGCATCGGTGCGGCAACTACGAGACTTGGTGGGAGTATTTAGCATGTCCCTTACCCGCCGCGTAGCGCGGGGGGGCGGAGTCGGCGAGGCGGACCTCGCTGTGGGGTGGTGGCGCTTTCGAGGTGGCGGCGGCGCGTTGTCCATGTAATGCTTGACGTAGATACGGAATGTGTTCGCGGTGAGGTCACGCGTGTGCAAGCGAGAGGGATGTCGTAGGCGTGGTGCCTGTGTGTCATCTCATGTCAGGACAACGAGCAGCGATACCGTACGCTGTCACACTTGCCTTCACATCTCCAGCCGTGCTCGACGTAGGAGAGGACGAGGCTACGGAGGTGCTGGGTGAGGTGTTCGTTGAGGGTGCTATAGAACGGACAAAGGCGGGGGTCGTAGGCTTCTGCACGGTGGCACGCTTTGACGGTGAATTAGGCCGGCTGAGCGCAAGAAATGTAGGGTGCGTAGGAAGCGGAGGTGGTATGAAAGGTGGTGATGGCTCTGATGGGTAGTAGGTAGTGCGGTGTAGCTCAGATACAGCGAGCCAGTGACTTGGCTCGTCGTTATATGAAGCACAACGAGCTGGAGTGGGGTCGGTCAGCCACCATCCCCCGAGGTATAGGGAGACTCACAGATCTCATCCACAAGTAGAATCCGAGTGTCGTGCCTGGAAACGACGCGTCCTACGACTTGTACAGATTGCCCGACTCGGGCGACGGGTTCCGGAGGAGGAGGGGGTTCCGCGCGAGTATGTATCGAGGAAGATGCTGTTGTGGCCACCTTGCATGCAGAGAACAGATAGTCTGAGAAGGAAAGTCCCGCCTTCTTACTGGTAGCGTCCGAAGCAGGTGCTGTGGCTTTCGCTTTGGGCTTGACAGGGCTAGGAGGGACAAGTTGAGCATGTGCCAATGCGCAATCAAGAATCGCTGTCCCGTCGTCCAAGGTGTAGACCGTGCGTTTGTCCCAGACTGCTACGCCGACCACGAGACCGAGCAGGCGGACAGTTCGACAAGGTATACGGCCCAACCAGAAGTAATCCATATCTAGAGGTGAGGCATGCGTCAAGAGAGACATGCGTATCGGAGTACTGATATCTCACCTCTGATTCCACTTTGTTTCATCTCGAACACGTCTCGTACGAAGCAGGACGTAACCGCCGCTCTCGTGAACGTCCATCGGAGTATATCAGCTGGGGTAGGCTGAGGTTGCTCTGCCTCCTTTTCGGTTGGAGGAGCTGTCCTTGACGCTGTTCGAGCATTGCTGTCTGATACTCGCTGTTTGGGCTTTTCAGCGTTTAGTTTCCTTCGCTTGGATGGCGTCAAGAGGATGGATGGGCTGCGGGAGATGGCTGTCCTCGTTTGCGGCACTGTTGAAGTATGACTCATTCACGCAGTTTCAGACTGTATACGCAAGAAGAATAGAATTGGTGTGGTGGGAGAAAGCAAGCAATGAAGCAGCGACGAGCGTCGAGCGAGACGACAGAGCAAACCAACTCCTTAGCCACTACTTACATAAACTTGAACGCGCCGCTCGCGTTCTGTCCACGTGCCACATCGAGTAGGCTGCACGTGAGGGGCTCTGCTGCAGCCTGCGGAGCGCGCAAGTGAATGCGGCGCGGTCTTCAAACGACAATAGGGGTAGTCAAAGATGGCGGTTCGGTGGACGATTCGAGGGAACGATTCGGGAGACGATTCGAGAAGAGGGGAATCCGCGATTCTGGCAGAATCGCGTCGAATCGCCGGTGCGAGTCTGGAGGAGCACCGCACACCCGAATCGCGATTCTCTGCACTCGATTCCCTCAGCCCGACCTCGGATAAGCCCTTTTAAATTAGGTTATATGTCGAAATTGTACTGGGGTTTGTCTTAGCACGTCTTACGAGCGACCATGGCCCTACTGCAAGCTTGCCGCTTCTCTACTTTTATCAGAATTGCTGGTCTACAGATTCCCTCCACCTTCAAATGTCCAATCAGACCGAAAACCCTACTGTCAGAAAGTCTGGCCGTCTCACTTGGCAACCTTCTGCTGGCTCTGGCACGAAGACCG